CTCAATTTTCATGACATTTTGCACATGAAATGCTAGCTGTTACCATTCAGTTAGATTGTTTATGCTAAGCTAAAGCAAATGGAATACTGGCAGATGTGAATAACCACCCTTTAACCATCACCTGTCACCTGTTTACAGATGTTCCAAGACATCCCAATGATACTGAAACATTCAGACATGTTGAAAAGCAGCTTTAAAAGATTTTATTTCATCATCAATTGGCAGACGGTCCTTAGTGTCCATTCTGGGCTTCTGTAGATTAGTGACATGATGAAACACTGGCACCAAGGCATGTTTCACAACACAGAGCCTCTGCTCATGAAACTGAGCACTACAGCTTTAAATACAAGTTTCTGTATGGTTCGGTTCAGACTCTAACCAGCTGACGGAGCAAACATGATGCCCTAGGTCAATGCAGAGCTTAGATTACAGTTCAGACTTCAGTAAGCTCATGTGCTTCTGTTCAGACCAGAAGGTCGTCGCCACATAAGAGCAAATATCCAGTTATTCAGCTGATGCTCTCCAGGTGTTACGAGCAGCTGCTGCTCTCCAGGTGTTACGAGCAGCTGCTGTTCTCCAGGTGTTACGAGCAGCTGATGCTCTCCAGGTGTTACGAGCAGCTGATGTTCTCCAGGTGTTACGAGCAGCTGCTGTTCTCCAGGTGTTACGAGCAGCTGATGCTCTCCAGGTGTTACGAGCAGCTGATGCTCTCCAGGTGTTACGAGCAGCTTGATGTTCTCCAGGTGTTACGAGCAGCTGATGTTCTCCAGGTGTTACGAGCAGCTGATGCTCTCCAGGTGTTACGAGCAGCTTGATGCTCTCCAGGTGTTACGAGCAGCTGATGCTCTCCAGGTGTTACGAGCAGCTGATGCTCTCCAGGTGTTACGAGCAGCTGATGCTCTCCAGGTGTTACGAGCAGCTGATGCTCTCCAGGTGTTACGAGCAGCTGCTGCTCTCCAGGTGTTACGAGCAGCTGATGCTCTCCAGGTGTTACGAGCAGCTGCTGCTCTCCAGGTGTTACGAGCAGCTGATGTTCTCCAGGTGTTACGAGCAGCTGCTGCTCTCCAGGTGTTACGAGCAGCTGATGTTCTCCAGGTGTTGCTCCTCTGCAGCCAGGGCAGCTGCTTGCAGCGTCTCTGTATCACTCTGTAGAGAATTCAGCTGCTTCCTCTCACTGTGCATGTTGTTTTCATGACGCTTCAGGTCTGAGGCCTGAAAGCAAAAAATAGGTTTTAAAACAATCTTCAAATAGGTTAAATGAAGACAATAAATACAAAAACAGAAAGCAAGTTTAGAACATCAGGATATCCTGATAAATCCCTGATGGACCTAGCCCTCCCATCCACTCCAGGTTTCGCCAGATCCAAAAACCATTCTCAGGCGGATTCAATCCCCTCTAATCCAAATGAGGATCGGCAATCAAGACTCACGCGCGTCCATAGGCAGACCCTGTTAAATGATGCCAGATAAATGAGAATGGAAGGACAGAGCCTCGATCTTCATCCAGACAAAGCAATAATAATTAATGTCTACGAGGACTACAATGACACCAAAACCAAGATAGAGACCATGAGCTGTTTGTACAAAGCTGTGTAGTTATTTAGCTAGCATGCTCAGTTTACATGTTTCCATGGCAACCAGACACACTGCCAGCCAATTATGACGAGGATTCAACCCCAAATGTTTTCATTCATCAGCCACAGACTCGCTCGCCACTCTCTCTCTCATCACAGCAAGCCGGGCTTGCTACCGTGACTCACGAATCTCCTCTCCTAACATTTTAATTCACCACTTCACCGGTGATTTTCCCATTCATGTGCACAGATGAGCCAAACCCCTCCTCTGCGTAACCAGGTTACAGGTACGGAAGCCAGGAGAGGCCAAAATTCCTCGTATTTTATCTTACTGGCTGATATAAATTAAAACTGAGATTCCAGTCATGATTGCGTTGATAATAAATAAATAAATAAATAAATAAATAAATGACCCACCTGAGTTGTGTAATGGATGAAATGGATCACGAAATTAGCTCAACATGATAAATGAAAAATGACTGGTAATATTGGGAATGACCTGATGTTGCCCACCCCTAGAAGAAATTGAAATGGTTTTACATGAACTAAAGATGGATGGATAAAAAAAAGCAATGAACCATGTAAAACACAACAGCCTGTGATTCTTGTAATCCAGAATTTTTATTTTATTATTTTTTAATTTGTTTTTATCAGTGTTATAACATCGATCTGCTGTGGAAGAGAACACACAGGTAGAGGAACAAAACAGAGAGAAAGGAAACAAACAAACAAAAACACAGAAAGGCATGGGGGGGGGGGGGGGGGACAGGCTCATTACAGGGTTAAGCAAACTGGCATCAGTACAAGGGTGGCGGGTTACTCTTTTGCAGTTTTGTGGCTTACCCATAGTCAGATCTTATTGGTTTTACATATTCAGACCATTTAGACCAGATTTTATAGTTTTTCTTTTTGAACCCTGAGAGAAAGCGTCATTTTTCCATTGCATAAATTTCGTGTACAATAGCATTCCAGTCCTCAATATTAGGGGTTTCCGCCGTCATCCATCTCCTCGTGATTGCTTTCTTACTTGCTGCCATGAGCAGACCAAACAACCTCCTATCATATCTGTCCAACGTTTTTGGTGCCACACTGCTGATTGGCTGCACCTGGCGGTAAGGCGTTTCCTGTTTCCTGTTTTCAGTGTTGCACTACGTGTAGCTGTTTGGTGTTTGGGGCTCGCTAAAACTGATTTAATTTCTCTGTACTAGGATATCTCTGAGTTATTGTAGCACTAAAGCACGCTAAAACACACATTTTCTGTTGTTACACCTAGCTTTTAGGGAACCATTTGAGTTTGCACGCAGTTTATTTGGTGTTGAACAGTTTGCTCGTCCAGTTAGCTTAGCCTCAGCATGGCTATGGCTACTTCTGTCTCTGCTTCTCCGTCTCCTATCTCTTGCTCTCTGTGTCAGATGTTTAGTTACTCCTCTGCCTCCTTTAGTGATAATGGTACGTGTAATAAATGTAGCATTTTTGTAGCTTTGGAGGCGAGGGTTTCGGAATTGGAGTCCCGGCTCCGCGCTGTTGAAAAACCCGTAAACAGCTGTAGCTACTTAGCTAGCGCGGGGCTAACTAGCTCAGAACCACCCCGTAGCAGTCTTCCAGCAGAACCCGAGCAGCCGGGACCTCAGGCCGGCTGGGTGACGGTACGCAGGAAGCATAGAACCCAGCCCGTGGGCCACCACCCACCCGTCCACGTTTCTAATAGATTTTCCCCGCTCAGTGACGCACCCACTGATAAGCCGACTCTGATCATTGGCAGCTCCATAGTCAGAAACGTGGCATTAGAGACTCCAGCAACCATAGTTAAATGTTTACCTGGGGCCAGAGCGGGCGACATTAAATCTTATCTGAAACTGCTGGCTAAGGATAAGCGTAAATACAGTAAGATTGTTATTCACGCTGGCGGTAACGACACCCCGTTACGCCAATCGGAGGTCACTAAAATTAATGTTGCTTCGGTGTGTAAGTTTGCCAAAACAATGTCGGACTCCGTAATTTTCTCTGGCCCCCTGCCTGATCGGACCAGTGACGACATGTTTAGCCGCATGCTGTCCTTCAACCGCTGGCTGTCTAGGTGGTGTCCTGAAAACAACGTGGGCTACATTGATAATTGGAAAACTTTTTGGGGAAAACCTGGTCTGATGCGGAGAGACGGCATCCATCCCTCTTTGGATGGAGCAGCTCTTCTTTCTAGGAACATGGCCAGTTTTATTAGTCCTCCATGACAACCCAGGGTCCAGACCAGGAAGCAGAGTCATAGTTTAACCCACCCCTCTGCAGCTTCTGTACTGTTACCCACCCACTACCCCATAGAGACAGTGTCCTGCCCACGGCCAAAACCACACAGATTAAATATCAGGCTTAATAAAGCAAATCATGGAAATCTCATAAATATTAGAACAAATTCAACTGAGCAGCAAACTAGAAAAATTAAATGTGGGTTGTTGAACATTAGATCCATTTTTTCTAAGACTTTGTTAGTTAATGACTTGATTTGCGATAATCAGATCTCTTTGCTCTCTCTCACAGAGTCCTGGCTGCAGCAAGAGGACTATGTTAGTTTAAATGAGTCGACTCCTTCAAATTATTTAAATCATAATTTTGCTCGAAGTACAGGGCGAGGAGGAGGAGTGGCAACCATTTTTCATTCGGACTTATTAATCAGTCCCTTACAGATTAATAGTTACAGTTCGTTTGAACATCTTATTCTTAGTTCTCCTAATCCAGATTGCAAAACTGTGAAACCACTCTTGTTTGTAGTTTTATATCGTCCACCGGGCCCTTACTCTGAGTTTTTGGATCAGATCTCTGATTTTTTATCTGATTTGGTACTAAATACTGATAAGGTCATTGTAGTGGGGGATTTTAATATCCATGTGGACATTGAAAATGATTGCCTCAATGTAGCCTTTAGTAATATCTTGGACTCAATTGGTTTTACTCAAAGAATACATAGCTCCGCCCACTCCTGCCATCATACATTATACCTTGTGCTGACTTATGGCATAGAGTGTGAGGAAATAACGATCTTTCCACATAATCTAGTCCTCTCGGACCACTTTCTGATAACCTCTGAGTTTTTTATAACTGAGTTCTCGAGACATGAAAGTAAATTTCACTATAGTCGGTCTCTATCTGACAACGCAGTTGCATCTTTTAAATCAACTGTTCCATCTTTACTGTCCTCAGCATCTCAGAGGAACGTAGCAGAGGGCAATATTTTCAGTTCTAGCCCCTCACAAATTGATGCCTTAGTTCATCATGTTAATTCCTCTTTACGTGTGGCATTAGATGATGTTGCCCCTTTAAAAAAGAAGGTAATTAGGGACAGGAAGTTGGCTCCCTGGTTTAACTCTCATTTACGAACCTTAAAACAAAACTCCAGGAAATTGGAGAGAACATGGCACTCTACGCACCATGAGGAGGCCTACCTATCCTGGAAAAATAGTTTTGTGCTTTATAAAAATAAGCTTAGACAAACTAGAATTGCTTATCTCTCAGCATTAATTGAGGAGAATAAGCATAATCCTAAATTTCTGTTCAGTACAGATGCTAAACTTACACAGAATCAAAGCTCTGAGCCATCTATTCCCTTAGCCCTCAGCAGCAATGACTTCATGGGATTTTTTACAAATAAAATTAATTCTATTAGAAACAAAATCTTTAGCATCCTCCCTAATGCGATTTCTTCTTCCTCAGTAAGTGAGGCAGCATCAGAGGTGACTGTAGAACCTCATCTGTGCTTGAACCGTTTTGATCCAGTTGAGCTTTCAGAGTTATCAAAAATATTAGCATCATCTAAACCTTCAACTTGCATTTTGGATCAATCAATCAATCAATCAATCAATCAATCAATCAAAGCTTTATTTATATTGGGTTGGGATCCAATCCCAACCAAATTTTTAAAGATGCATTTCCTCTGGTTACTGCCCCCATTCTAGATATAATAAATCTATCCTTAGTAAATGGGTATGTACCACAAGATTTTAAGGTTGCTGTAATCAAACCTTCACTTAAGAAGCCTTCTCTGGATCCAGAAGACCCAATGAATTATAGACCAATATCTAACCTAAAATGTCAGTTCGTCTGCATGCGTCGGGGTAATTCTTTCTATTCTTTCTCCGTCAAAATAAACGGTCAAACACAGGAACTGTCCGGTCAACACAAGCCCTGCTTTTAACTGTTCTGTTTTCTTGTGAAAATAGATATAATTTAACTTGATTAACACCAGAGCCAGGCGCACTTCTCCGTTATCTCCGCCACTGTAAATGAGGGACAAACAAAATGATCGGATCCTTTTCTGACCGTCCCCACCTACAAAGTTTAATTACAACAATCAAACGTGACAGAGCCTGGATTTGTATTCTGAACAGTCTAAACATGTTTTAAACAGAAACGTGTGACAAAAGTGGCACCTGCTCAGTAAACCACCAACAGGGTGAAAAATATCTAAATATTGTAGGCAGAGACGGGCTACAACTTCTGGATCCACTTTATATAAATCGTTTTATTGATTATCATCTTATGAAAGATAACTTTGATGTACACGAGCGACCGGTACTGGCTGCTGTCACCTGTTGTGAGCAGCTCTCTGCTGTCTGAGGGTAGGCCCCGCCCACAATGCCACGGCTGCTGCAGTGTTTTCTTTACTGTGGGAAACGGGTAATAATGGCTCTTTGATGGGAACAGGTTGCCGACCCCTGTGTTGTAGGAACAGGTGTGAGTAACTACTGGCTAGTCTTCAGACCAGAGCAGCTGAGACAAGGTCTAGAGGGCCTAGAGTTACCTTGGCGAAGGCCTTGGTGCAGGATGGACAGACGAAGGGCTTCTCTCCTCTGTGTCTCCTCTCATGATCCTTCAGGTGAGACTTGTGTTTAAACGCCTACAGAAAACAAGTGAGACGGAGGTAGATGAGACAGATGTAAAGATAGTTGAGAGACAGACGTGTGGGTGAGAGACAGGTACGTAGGGTTATCAGTGTTTCCCTTACATAGGCGTAGCCGTGGCGGCCTGCCACGGCTGAAATCCCACCGCTACGCCTACAACATCCCAAGGTTTTTTTTTTTTTGCGCTGTTTCCTGAAGAAGCAGCGGGAACTACTATGTTGTCGCTTGTGATCACAGCCGGTGGGCAGCAAGGAGGAGCAGGCAGGGCAAAGTGAAGTTACAGCATAAGTTACTGAGTTTAAAATTAGAAAGGTAGCAGTGGATATAATGCTTTTTGGTTTACATGTTTCAATAGCATTAAGATAAACGAGTGTTGACGATCTTGACAGGTTCTCCTCCCCCCACCAGGCTAAGCATCACTTATTCATGTAAAATTTATTTATTTTTTCATGTCTGGCTTTAACTGCATCTAATACTGTATTACGGTGTGAGCGCAACAGCGACAACTTAAGATCGATGTGTGAGCAGCCTGAGGGGTCGGGGGTTTTTATCTGAACCCTTAAAACCTCCAGCAGGCTACGCTGCACTATTGACGTGTTAGCGCGCGGCGCTAACAACTTAGCGACGTGACATGTCTCGGACAAAGCGTAAAAACATTTTGGACGCTTCTTCTGAAGCGGGAAAATAACACCTCTTCTTAAGCAGAGCACGACGTCACCTCGGCTTGTTCACCCTCTGCCGAGCCGGTGTCGGTACAAGATCGGCTCGGGGTCCGTCGACTGCCGATGACATCAAAGTAGTTGATTGGCTGAACACGAACCTTACGGAATTATGTAATCACGTTACGTTGTTATCACGTTACATTGGTCCAGGCAAAATTTTTCTGTTGGAAAGATGGACAACTTTTACAAAGAAATCCATCATTACCTCTTTGAAAATATACTTTTAGCATAGAGCTGCATGTATATTAGGGCTGAACGATTAATTGCATGTGCAATTAAATTGCGATGTGACAAAAAGAGATTTTCTAATCGCAAAGGCTGCAATTTGGCAGCGAGTGGTTAGCGCAATGCTAATATACATGGAAAAACCCATAGGAATGCTAATGCTAATATCATCGATTACAATATTACAAATTATGAATTAGAAACGTGCCAAATGATTACATTTGGAGTCTAATAGAAAGTAAAACTACCATCAATCAAATAAGTACAGACAGGTATTTTAGTAAAGCCAGAAAACTTTTAACTCCAGAGTTTTGGCTAGCAGCTATGAGCGTAACTGAACTACGCATGGACAAGACGTCAAAAACGCTAAACACAAAATACTTCGATAAACGGGACACATTTCTTTCCTGCAAATACAATTTCACAGGTGTTGCTAATACCTATGATCCTTCAAGGGATGTGCTCAAAGAGGAGTTCAACATTATGAATACAATATAGTGTTTTATTTTACAAATACCATTATAAACACAAACTTACGTCTTAAGAAACATTTTAATAACGAAACTGCTAAATTCTTTCCAACAGTATAGATGTGTAGTGTATTTTGTCCGAGTAGGTTTGCCGTACTTTGACGTCATCGGCAGTCGAAGGACCCCGAGCCGATCTTGCACCCGAGCAGATCCTGTACCGACACTGGACTGAGCTCGATAACATTGACCCAGCACAGCCACTGGGTCGTTGGAGCTGCCCCGTGACTGCCTGATGGAAAACCAGCGGGTTTCATCAGACTCGTAAAGTTTCTTGTTTTTGCTGGGGACCCCCTGTATTTTACTGCTCCCTCCTGCAGTCTTCCCCTATTAAAATTTAAAATGATTCTGTAAACTCCGTGTATCAATAGAAACAATCTCTGCCTCTGCCAGCTGCAGTAAATGTAGTCTCCAAATAATAAATAAGAGGTGCATTCATCTGTGTGTCTCCTTTGATCTGCATTAGTGATATTCTCAGCACCAGAACAGTGAAGCAAAGAAACTGAGTTTGTTAGTAATTTTATTTATTAGGTGCATCTGACCTGTTCTATTTTTCTCTGAAATGAGATCAAATCAGTGCTTCTATGGGTTGTCTCTACTCTTTATTTAGAGACGTGTCATAATTTCATTTTTTGGTTTGTGGGTCGACTGGATCAGAGAACCTGGGGTTTACACACAATGTCACTTAATGCAGAGGAGCTTACACTCCAGTTTGACAGTATCTGTAAAAACATTTTGGATAGAATTGCACCTCTTAGGATTAGAAAGCCGAGGCCTAGGCCAGAACCATGGCTCTCTGATGATGTTCGGGCCTGCAGGAGGGCAGAAAGGAAATGGAAGAAAGACAGACTCCAAGTCTCTCGTGAGATATTCAGAGAATCTTTGTTTAGCTATCAGCAAACTCTTAAGGAAGCACAGGTGAAGTTCTTTGCTGATATCGTGGAAAAAAATTCTCACGATCCACGCTCTCTTTGTTCTGTAGTAAATTCGCTACTTGAGTTCTCTGATTCTAGCTCTTTGCCTCCCACAGGTGAAACTTGTAATGACTTTCTTCACTTTTGTTGATAAGGTTACCTCTATTGGAGCTGCCATTACAAACTCACCACCTGACTCTCTACTCCCAGAGCCGCCCCAGGCTACTCTGGAAACATTTGAGCCTGTATCCTTATCGGACTTGGAAAAACCGGTCGCTCAGCTTAAACCTTCTGGCTCTCCTTGTGATGTGCTGTCCGCTAGAATTTATAAAGAACTCTTTCCAGTGATAGGCCCTCTGCTGTTGGCAATCATAAATGGCAGTCTTACTTCTGGTATGGTTCCGTCCTCGTTTAAGAAGGCTGTTATTCATCCCATGTTAAAAAAGTCGGGGCTGGATGTGACAACCTTAGCTCTTACAGGCCCATCTCAAAACTCCCTTTTCTTTCCAAACTGCTGGAGAAGGTCGTGTATTCACAGTTGGTTGCCTTTATGGACACAAATGATTTATGGGAGACCTTTCAGTCAGGGTTCAGGGCAGGTCACAGCACTGAATCTGCTCTTTTAATGGTTTTTAATGACGCGTTCTTAGCCTGTGACATGGATAACGATGTTGTCCTACTATTGCTGGACTTATCTGCAGCTTTCGATACAGTCGACCACGAAGTCCTTCTGGGCCGACTACAGCATTGGGTGGGGATAACTGGGCAGGCCCTCCAATGGCTTCGCTCCTACCTTCATGACAGGACATTTTGTGTTCAGATGGGTGAGGTGACGTCACCCTGCGTGAGACTTTGTTGGGGTGTGCAACAGGGCTCTGTCCTTGGTCATCTCCTATTTGCAGTGTATTTGCTGCCTCTTGGAGGCCTCCTTCATCAGCATAATGTGAAATTTCATTTTTTTTGCTGATGACTGCCAGATCTATCTCCCTCTTCGACATGGGGAGGATAGATCTGTTTCTCCTTTACTGGATTGTTTGAAGGACATAAAATGTTGGATGGCTTCTAATTTTTTGCACCTACATGAAAGCAAAACGGAAGTCATAATACTTAGTAGGGATGAGCCGGATACTCGTCGGATACTCGTTTCAGACGAGTATCCGGTACGGATAAAGCGTTTTTGACGAGTACGAACATGAAACGATTAAAACTGGTAAATATCTGTAATCGTGCTGAAGGAAAATCCTCATTGGGTAACTGACTGTCTTCACGCTCTGTGATTGGCCAGTCACATAGAGCGCCCGCCCCTCCCTACACACAAAACTCTCTAGCCGGCCGGGAGCTCAGTCCGTCCGGCCCATCCACGCACACACACAGACAGTAACAGATCTTGCTGTGCTTGCTTCAATGTTGCTCACGTTTCTTCAGTTTTCCCTAGGTTTTCTTCAGCTCGCCTCTTTTTCGGTTGAATATTTAAAGTTACTTTTTTCGTAACGTACATGGTGCATTTGACAAGACAGAGCTGACGTGCTGCATCAGTCACTCACTACCTCCGCTCCGGTCGGGTTTTTTATTTTTTTTACTCCATCTATCTCCCTCTCTCAGACACACACACCTCAATCCACATTGTTTTGTTTAACTTTGTGTGGGGCAAAATGCCAAGAACGTTAAGAAAAAAATCTGTTTAATCAAATTAAAATAAAAAATAAATATATAAAGTTGTGTCTGGTTCTAGCATTTCATATTTCCTAGTTCCTACTGCATGAGTTCAGATGTATTAATCCATGCACTTAAATATTAATGTTCGGATTTTATTGAAACACTTGTTCTGTAATAGTTCCTTTACTATTGTGATCAAAAATATTTCATCTCAGTTCTGAGGCTGCTCTGTAAATAGTTTTCAGATAAACAATACACAAATCAACTTCTGATCAATCCATATAAATTTCAGACTTAAAATAATATATTAATGTAAACCACACTCACTTCCGGTTAAACCACGCCCACTTCCGGGTTATGCCACACCCATTCCGAGTACAGATACAGATAATTTAGTTGGTTGAACAGATACAGATACAGATAGTGGTGTACTCGCTCATCCCTAATACTTAGTCCTGGCAGAAGAAATGGCTCAGGTGCTGATAATTGACCTTGGCCCATTGACCCCCTATGAAAAGAAAATGGTCAGTAATTTGGGGATTAAAATTGACTCCACACTTAATCTTGACACTCACGTAAATACAGTGGTGAGGCCCTGTTTTTAACCTGAAAAGACTATCCAGGATCAGGCCTCTGCTGTCCAGAGCTCATCTGGAGTCTGTGTTGCATGCTTTCGTCCTGTCCCGTCTGGACTACTGTAACGCTCTGTATGCTGATCTGGCCCAGTGCACGGTTGCACGGCTCCAGTTTGTGCAGAACTCAGTGGCTAGGTTTCTGATGGGTACTAGATGTCGACATCACATTACTCCAGTGCTGACTGCTCTGCACTGGCTCCCGGTGCAATATCGAGCTAAATTTAAAATCTTAACTCTCGTTTAGGAGACTGACGTTGTAAATACAGTAAGAAAAATTAAAAACAAAAAATCCACAGATATAAATGAAATTGATATGG